TACCACACCACACGTGTGTTGCGTGCTTTGAATGCTCAGGGTACAGCGTTCGCATCCTGCAGCGTGAGCGATTTCTCCTTCATCACCCGAAGTTGACTTTTAGAATCCTTTTGCATTTCCCAAAGCTTCTCCAAAAGTTTAGAGTTCAAAAGATAGAGTTCAAAATTGTTAATAGTAAACTTTTCAGCCTAAAATGTTCTACCAATGTTATATGGACAAATCACAGAATACTTCTGCGGGAAACTCATTAAAAGATAATTACTGGGTAATTATTTCTTTGTAGAGTGGGGTTATTTTGTGTAGGTAGTGCTGCCTCATCTATTCAGATGGACTTCACGCATCAGCTTTTTTCTATGCCAAGTGTAATCCGTTTCCAGAACAAGTGCAGGTGCTGTCGTGGTCTCTGTGAGAAAGGGAAAGAAAACGCGGAAGAAATGCAACGCCAGTACTCAGCTGTGCAATGGGCTACAAGCAATGAGTAAATGCCTTTTTCCCCCTTACACCTCGAATCAGCTCGACATCAGAATGTGAACACAGAATGCCTCTCTCTAGGCAGTGTCATACATCACAAAAAACCCTGAAAAAGCAAGACTGGCAAAGGAGGAAACCACTAAGTCAGGAAAACACTGTCAGGGAACCTTACTGGTTTGTTCCCAGGTAATGAGTTATCTCAGTTTCTTTTTAAATTGGCTATTAAAATTTTCTTACCATCACAGGGAAAACACAGAAGAGATGAAGTCTGATAAAGTTCTTTACACAGGTTACTTATCAGTCTGAATCTATTACATTAATGGATTTAAATTAGTCCTTAAAAAAAAACCCAACCAAAACCCAAAACTTAATTACATTGTTCTTGGAAAGTCTTATTTCTTGCATTTCTCAGTTTGTGGGCCTGAGTGCAAAACCCAAAACTTAATTACATTGTTCTTGGTAAGTCTTATTTCTTGCATTTCTTAGTTTGTGGGCCTGAGTGCACAGGACTAGCCAATACCTTTTTCTCATGTTAAAAAAAAAAAAAAATAAAAACCCAAAACACAGATCTATATATATTCTCTGTGTGTGTGTATATATATATGCAGTCTTTTACCAGTAATTGAGCTGCTCAGGAGCCACACATTTACTCACGTACTTCTGACTGCAGCCGTACCTCAGGTTAACCCATTCTGGGCTCAGTCTGCGTGAAGTTAACCTGAACTGACTCTGAACAAAGCCTCTGCCGTAAGGCACTAGCTGGCACCTATCTCCACGATCCACACCTCAAATTTGTATTGCAAGACATTCCTGGTCTTTGAAATCCATGCAACGTCAGCTGAACGATATCATCAGACTTTACAGAATGTTCCATGACATACAGGTTAAAAATATTTAATGAGAAATTAATAAAATCCCACATTAATTGGTAGAAAAGTTTATTTTTGCAGTGCACGCCATTGTAACCTGAAACAGCAAGTAAACATATGCAAACATGCAGTTTGGTTTTTAAACAGATTTTTGAAAACAATTTGTATTGAGCTTTACATGAATGAATAACAATTTGGTATTTTAAGACTTTTTATAAACAAACAAGAAACCCAGAGATTTTTCGGGGTTATACAAGCGAAGCGTATACATGTGGAAAATAAATGCAATTCATTATAGTTACAAATGGCATCGGAAGTCCTTTATCTTACATTATGGACCATTTTTTAAGGGGCAAGTAAGCGTGAGAGACAAGCAATAAACACCATTAAGACATCAGTGTAACTACAGCTCTCTGTTGTGCTTTAGTTGTTCAGACAGAAAAACGTTGATCCTATAAATGGGAAGCAGCAGCCTTCCCGCCAACCATTCTTTAAAGGATTGAGTTACTGGTTTCCTTTAGACCATGTGAACTGAAGTCTGGGATCAGGGCAAGCCCTAGCGCAGTTTTGCGGCCAAGAAGGCATCTTCTGGCTGGTGCAAAACTTGGGCGTGTAAAGCTTAAGAGTGTACCTGCTGGATCTACCAGGCAAACAGGGAAAGTAAAAGTGAATAATTTCAGTTTAAAAATTTATCCTACACCGCCCTCTGGCAACACAGATATTAAATGACACAGTTCCCCTGCTGTGAGCAGCATAAAGCTAATTAATTACACATTGCAAAAAAAAAAAAAAAGAAAAAAAAGGCGGCAGCTGAGAGTGTTTGGCAAGCTCTGCAGGCACAGTGTGAAGCTGATTTGTCCTGTCCACTTTCCGTTTGTAACTGCCTTGGGGAAAGAGGGGGAAAGCAGGTTAACGAGGAAGCGTATTCCACATTCTCCTCAAACCTCCAACCCCTCCAAAGACTCTTCTGTGTAGGCGTATCCTAAGTAAAACCCATTAGTTGCAACAGGTGAGAGATCTGACCCAAGAGACTTCACACGCAGCAGCTGTGGATGCGTTACATTCACTCTGTTGTAGAGATCCTGTACTTTTAAAATAAAGCAGTGTTTTCACTTGAAAACTCCACTTCTTTCAACTTATGGGACCACTTCAAACCGTGAACAAAACGTGCAAAGAAGTCAATCGTGTGAGAAAGCATTCTAAAAGAATTTTATTGGAATGATACAGGAATGGTTAATATACAGGTTAAATCCTCAATGTCTGCCTTCTACATAGGAAAAAAAAAAATAAAGAAATGAACAAGTTCAGTTCCTGCGCCCATCATTAACCTAACACAGGTATAGGAAATGGAAAAATAGCCTATAGGCAACAAATTCCTAGCACTCCTAAATTCATGCAATATATCTGCATCAAAATGAAGGCAAGTTTTCCACACAGTCCCACAACAAAGAGAAATTTTCGGTATTTTTCTGTTTGTGTTGGTGCCTTGTTCCCCGGACAAAGAAATAATTCAGTCTGTCTCAACAGAGCTTTCTTAGGAATGCTGATATGGTTTGAACGCTACCATATGGCAAGGGCGGGGGACCAGACGGGGGAAGCGACTTTGCTTTCTTAAACTTGGCAATTTTCTTGACCGTCAGAGATTGACCTTGTTTCAGAATGTTTTGGGTCGCTGAACTGACAGAATTTGGCAGCAACTTTCAATTACAGCTTCTCCAAAATAATGACTGTAATTCACAAAACTTACACCGTACTTTCCTTACACAGGAAACACAGCAAATTGGAGTGAGTATAGTGACTTGTGTATCAAATTCCACTTTCTTCACAAGACTTCACTTGGTATTCTTACCTATTTTCTCAAAAACTCAACCACTAGTTTAGACGTAAAGATTATGCCAGTATTAAGAAAGAAAAATCACCTCAGTTCAGAAAGATGAAATCATAGTGAACAAGAAGAATTGGACTCTGGATTTAAAACATAACCTACCTACCATCCCCAAAAGATCTTAAAAATAAATTTCACAGAATTTCAGTAATTATTGATAAAGCCTGTTAATGAAAAAGCACAAAATGCGTGTGTTAATCTTGAAGGTAAGGCAACATTAATCTATCCTTATGTCTTTTGATGCTTTTGTAAGCATCCGCTTCAAACTGACTCCCAGGCCCACAAATTAGAAAAGATAAAAGATTAATTAAATGTCATTTTAACTAACTTGGCTCCTGCTCACTCGGATGTGTGTGGAAGTTTCAACATGAGCTCTCTCAAAGCAGAGCTGGTTTCCAACCAGAGCAAGTAGCTGCGCTTCTCTTTTAACAGACCTTGCCAAAATCATCAGTTGCAGTGAACGGAACAAAAGCCCCAAAGAAATGTTGGTGGGGGAAATAATGACTGCATCTTTGGAAACCTAAGTTCTTACTTTTATCCTGTTTCTAATTTCAGACTTCAAAACTATGAACTGTAAACCATTTTGGAAAGTATTTATATTTTTGAAAGAACATGGCCAAGACATACAGACCATCTCAGGAGCGCTGGGAGAACAGACAGGTTAATATTGCACATGGTAAATTCACCACTGCAAGACACTTTAATAGATTCACAATTCCTGTAATAGCTTTGCGATATGGCAGTAACAATGGAAATAAGTTTTTAAACCTTAAAAAAAAAAAGTCTTGATTAATTACAATAGTTCTTGCTATTCAAACATTTACTTCCTTGTTTGAAAAAATACTATATGAATCTAATGACTACATGAACATGCAGTAAGATGCCTAATGCTATAAGGAGTGTGAACTGGTATTTTTGTAGAGAAATACATTAAAGGCTTTCACCCTTACACAGGTAAGGAAATGCCATTTCTGGCCATTTTGGCTTATTTGCAACGGTGCCTGGGAATTAGCGCATACTCAGCTGAGGGGCACCGACTCTTGCAGACATGTAGTCAAGTCATGCTTAGGCAGCTGTGTGATGAAATTGCCAATGGCAAGGCTGTCCATTGCCCAGATCCCTTTTTCTTTGTCAAAAGAGCCCACACGGATCACTTAAATGAGAAATACATGGCAATTTTTTTTCTTTTATCATCTGTACAGTGTGTTACAATACAAATCTTAAATATCCATTCTACAAAAGAACAAACACAACTTTCAAAAGTGACTACAATGGCTATACTACACAATACCACCTACAATTTCATCTGAAACCAGTAGAGACACTGAAAAATTACTGTGTAATTCAGTAATGTTTTTGAGGCAACTCAGGCACTAAAGTTAGTATCTGACAAGGTTTTAGATGCTGTTTTCCGTATTTTAAATAGTTGGATCTCTAGGTATAACCCCATCTGTATTATTAGTATTAAAATAGTTTCTTTAAGTTTACACAAAACGGATGAATTGCCAAGACAGCTTAAACTATGTGAAAATCATTCCTGTCTAATTGCTTCAGTTTCCTATGCTTCCAACTTTGTAATAATACACCCTCTGCTCTCTACCTTTATGTTCACATTTTCATCTTGTGTTCAAATTTGTATGACATACGGTGAATGCTGCAAGCACCAATCAAATGTTAGAAATCACATCTACATTTCTTGAAGCAGAGACAATTGTACTATTTTATAAAAAGCTGTGGAAATTCCCTTTACAGAACATTTAAGGCAGTTGAAATTCACGCTTGCTGCTTGGCCAGTGCTTCAGCTTCCTGAAAAAGAACAGAATTACACATATTAGTACGTTATGAAAGGCGACAACTTACACATACTTGCATTAGCATATGACGTAACAAAAACTGCAGCAATACGCGATTAAGAATTCAGCAGCACTGAACCCACTCAAGAAAAGAGTCCCCACTGCCTATGATGACCTTATAAAACAAGTCCCATGCGGTGCTGGCTTTAACTCCAATTCTGAGCTAGCTCAAGTAGGACTTGCAGGAATATTCCAACTCGTGCCCACGGCCAGTTTTGACCATAAAAGTTTAAAACAAAAGAAGATCAGATATAATGAGTTATCCCTCGTTTCACGTTAGGATACAAGAACTATTTCGAGATCAAAGACTATTTGAAGAACTATGGTTAGATGGAAAAAGAATTCTTACTAAGTTTCCACATTCAAAAAAAAGAGGTCTTGGGAGAGACGTAATTTATCTTCTGAACGACCAAAAGCCAGCATTTAACTTTTGCCTTCCAGAAGGGCGCTCAGAGCAGCCTGCGAGTCCTTCAGCCACAGCTCGGAGCTGCTCCAGCAGAAGACGCAGACGTGAGCTCCGTCCTGGTGCTGGCAGCAGGTCTGTCCTGGCACCCGCACTGCTGAGTAATCCCAGCTCGCCACTGCGGGGGGACGCGAGCCAGCGGGGACGCGCTCCTTGGGAACCACTCCTGCCTATCCCCTGCTCTCCATGCTCAGGGCTCCCATTTTGCAGTTTTCTGTCAGCCTTTGTAACGTGGTCGCAAATGGGAACAGAATGACAACAGAAGAAATGCAAAAGGAATTTTTTTCTCAAGATGGTTTCTACAAGTGTACCTTTGACTGGAGATTAATTACCTGTTAGCAGCCACATGGCCTACACAAAGATGAACAGTCACAGTGCTCTCACTGCAGCACTTCAGGGTGGACAGTGTGGTTTACTTTAAAGGAAAAAGTTCGACATCTGCTAAACTCAACTTTTATGCAATGGAGTTGTTTGCTTTGGTGACTGCGTGGAAATACTGAAGATAACAGACTCAACAATATCATTGTTAACATGAGCCAGTATGCTAAACAAATAAAAAACAAGAGAAGGAAGGACTAAGAAGGGAATTTCCGAGAAGCCTGTAAGTACAAGGCATGTCTCCGTTATCTTAGACATGGTGGATCACACTGGTTTTCCTGGCTATCTGCCCAAGCGCGTCACATCATGCTGCCTTTCAACTCAGGGGCGTGGGAACAGCCTTGCTCAGACCGCTGGCTCAGGTCTGCCGCGCTCCCGGACTGCGCTCAGCTCCTCTGGCTGCACGTCGCGGGTCAAAGAGCGGAGCCGGGATGTCACTGTGCAGCCATGCTGCTCATGTGAGGGCATCCTATCAGTTCACAGCAGAAAAGGCAGGTGAAAAACGAAGGAAACATTAAAAAAAACCCTACAAAACCCGGGGGGGAAAAAACCCGATGTTTGATACTCTCTAACAGACGAGTGGTTCTTTGAAGGGTAAGAAACAGGAGATGGTTTCCTTGGCTTTGTAACAACTCCATTAACCAGTCACGGGCACTACGGAAGTGACATCTAGGTTTTTTTTCTTTTTTTTTTTCTTTCCAGAAAATGCAGGACAAAGTACTTATCTTCAAAACAGGCAGCAGTAAGCTGGAGAAGTATTTCTCTCAACTCCAGGAAAGGAGCTACAAATAACTCAGAGAGCATGCAAACCTATTTGTCTTGAAGGTCAAACTCCATTTCCTTGGGTGTGGTCCTGCGAGTTACCTGAAAAAGGCTCAGCTTTTCAGATTTGACAGTATCCCTCTTTCATGCTTTTCCTTATTTCTCCCTCAAGGCCCCTTAGCGAGCATGCTCTCAGTCCTTAAACAACTAATCACACCCTTTAAACTCATTAAATCCTCTCTCTAAAACCCTTATTGCTTGAAGTGGGGATACTTAACTTGAACGCCAACGTTTCCCAGGATTTGTAGGTCTATTTGTGCCCAAAGCACAAACCAAACCACCAGGGTTCCGTAAACAGTTACTTGCGTTTCCCATAGAATCACAGAATGGTTTGGGTTGGAAGGGACCTTAAAGATCATCTAGTTCCAACCCCCTGCCATGGGCAGGGACACCCTCCACTAGACCACGTTGCCCAAAGCCTCATCCAGCCTGGTCTTAAACACTTCCAGGGATGGGGCCTCCACAACCTCTCTGGCTCACTTCAGAACCCCTCTTGTTTAGCATTAATATTGGAACTTTGTGTTCAAACAACTTTCCAAATCTCTCACGATGACATTTAATGGAGGTTTTCTGTCACGGTCCTCTCCTGCAAGTTGATCCTAGACTCTTTCAGTTTTATGTAGCAACATATGCAGGCGCAGTGTCGTTAACTGCTGTATTATATCCAGGCTACGTGCAGCTATGCTGTAAATGCCAATTTCAGCTTCTACAAATCAGTTTTTCCTCCTCAGCCGCAGGCAATCAGCTTGATTTGACATCATGTAATTGTGGGATGGACACCAAAAGTCAGACCAAGAGCAGAATGCACTGGGTACAAGGTCACTTATGCTAAGGTTATCTTCATCAGCTCAAACACGCCTCTCCAAGCTGTAGCAAGCAAAAATTCGGCAGAGTACAACTGCATTATGCTTCTGCTTTTTAAAACTCACCTTTTCCTTATGTGAGCACAGAATCAGAGCAACTAATAGCCATGCAGACTGCTTCTGCAATCTGGCAGGTTAAGTAAGAAGCGATGTTCACAGATGTTACAGAGACAGCTGACCTGATTCATCACGGCAGCAACTGCTTTCCAGTACCAGATCTCGGCCGTGAGCGGAAACGCATGGGCTTTCCTGCATCCCATGGTCTCAGGACTGCCTTCTCACTCCTTGGCTCCATCCTGCACACTCTTTTGTGCAGCACTGTGCAGATGTTCCAAGAAACTTAAATAAGATTTACATGACTATCACACCGTGTGCAGCTGGCCTCCTGACGCCGGCGACGCATGACGCTGGGGCACACATCACAGGTTTTGCTCTCTGCTGTTCTCTGTACGAGGCAGAGTTTTTCCTCGCTACGCCGTTCACAGTAGTGGAGCTACCACTGGAAATTAGTCTGGCTCCCAAAACTGCTTCAGTCTGACCCACAACTTGTAATGCTTAATACTGATGGATCATCATCCACCTTTAAAATTAGGTCTCTTAGTGATGTGCAGAGCACGACCTTCAACTCTTACATGAATAAAGCTGAAAGGAAATGGCGTGTTTACCCACTGGAACAAGAAAGCTGGAAGTGACCTGGAGGATCCTGCTGCTGTCAAGTGAAACGCATAAAGCAGGCTTGTCCTACCCTATCAAAATCAAAAGGCGGATTCCAGCCCATTGCATCTGCAAAGCAGCAACCCAGTTTGTAATTGGCAAAGCAAAACAAGGCTTCAGATAACAAGCTGGAGGAAAAAAATTACTCTGAAGCAAGACCACATTATTTCAAAAGCAGTGACTGGTTTCAAGGTATTTTCTAGTACAGAAATCTCATCAAAAGTTCACATGAATTAAGTTTTTTCACTGAATTAATTCTTTTGTTTTGTGACAGCTTTTTTCATCTGGATTTCTTGTGCATTCTTCAGTGCAAATATTAACTACTCTTTCACTAAAAAAGAGCAGGGTGGCTCTGCAGTGAGGGTACCAAAAGAGCATCTGTACTCAACACTGAGTTTTTCTGGTAGAAGAAGGGGGAGGAAGATGCCTCCGGGGAACACAGCATCCGCTAAATAAACCAGCACGTAACAACAGCATGTTGCTCTAATGTTGAAGCCTGAAAGTTAGTCTCTGGAGACCAAGTATCAGACCAGCAGGTAGAGTGATTGGGGCAGCCACGGAACACATAAAAGATCCTACTATGAGCAGAAAAGCACAAGTTGTAAAATACAGGTTGTGGCTTACTGTGAGAAATGTACCCACCTACCTTTGAACCAGGTGGCGCAGTCAAGCCTAAGAACGCATATACCGCGTTGTTCTCTCGAGCTTCAAAGAAAGCTTCGTAGTCCTTCACAGGAGTCAGGGAGGGGGTGGAAACAAAAGACAGAATCATCAGAGATAATCACAATTCAGTTTGGTGTGTTACCCAACCCGCGCTGAGCAAACTGCTTCCTCTGGCCGACTGCAAAATTCAGAGCATCACCTCAGATATTTATCATTACCACTGATGCCAAAGAAATCATAATGTCTGAAAAGTGACAAGCTGGGAATTTCAGTATCTGTAGCAACAAGATGCTGCTGTGAGGTGCTTCCGCCTTTCCCAGAAGGACAGCCTCCATAGCAAGGTGGTAGATGTCACTGGTCTGGCACGGATGTCTGAGCCCACATTTTGTCATGAGAAACCCTCATGTCCCTGGGTGTCATTGCTAATTACTGGCTGACAACGGTAACCATGCGACTATGGACATTAACTCTTAAACCTGTTAAAAGTTAAATTTAAACCTGTAAACTAAGAGTACATCCTTTCCCATCATGTTTTCCATTAATGATTAGTCTACGCAAGCAAAGGCAATCAGGTGGCACTGTTCTACAGTTGCCCTACATATGCACACAGCCACCTCCCAGGAAAATTAAGGTAAAAACAATGAAGTAATAAAAGAAATACCAATGCTTACTTCCTTCTCTGCCCTTTTTTATATCATCTGAGGCAGAATACAGTGCCGTACAGAGTACAAACAATACAGCTTAGTTGTCTGCTTAAGTTAGGAAAGAGCAAGCAAAAAGCCCGCAGTGTGGCTCAGCAAGAGCAGTTGCCAAACACTGACCAAACGAACGCAGAAGGTTTGTGCAAGTCCACCGTTGTCCGAGTTACCACATACTTCCCTCCCTCCAATTTCCAAACTCAGCACATATCTGTCCTATGACTTTTCTTCTTTCCCTTTTTTTACCAAAGCAACAGTACCAGCTTCACCCAGCTTTACTGGGAAATGTTTTGATGCAGGAATCCTGGCTGAGAAACCCAAGGCAAGGCAGGAGCTCGGAGCAGTCTCAGTGTCTGGCTGAAGGCAGGGAGAGAGCTGCCATTAAGGGCACACTGCTTCGCATGCCTGTCTGTCTGGTAGGCAGAAGCCTAAGAAATAGCAAACGCTGTTTGAAAATAGCGCTGCGTTCAGAGCAGGGGCAGCTCTCAGAAGAGGCTATTGCAGCTGGAACAGAAGGGAACAGAGGAGTCGAACAGCCTAGAGATCAAGGATGTCAAATTATTCTACACGAAGCATTCAGGTGCTAGTTTGATAAAAATGTGTATGATTATGTTAAATCCTCCCTGAAGCCCTTCTGTTGACAGTACTGGGGCTGCTTGATAACAAAGGGGTTGTTTATCTGGCTAGTGCATAGTCCGGCAGTCTGCTTCATAGCATCTCCCAGGAAAGGAATGCCTGTGACTAAGGAGCAGGGTTCATGCCAACTTGCACAGCATCTACAGTTACAGCCTTTCTGCTGTGCACAGGCCAATAAAAGTCAATTTGCTCATTCCTCTGCCAGTTATGCTGCATCAGATGAAACAAACAGGGAAATTCATGCTTCACATGGATCAGATAAAGACATAAAAAGGTTCAACTGTGTGGGCACAGAATTCACTTTTACCTTCCTGAAAGCTGAACTGTAGTAACCTGAATCCAGCTACACAAATTGACTGAAATTCAAAAGTTCGAAGTGACATCAACCAAAATTTTCGGGATGAAATAAACCTATAGCAAGAACTGCTCTGAAGCATCCTATATCCCTCTCCCCAAAATCACTGTATTCAGAACTGTTGTGGGGTGCAGTTGGGGACACATGAGAAGCATCTCTGAAAAGCAAGCATCCAGATCTAGGTGTGTACAGCTTTTTCTCTTCCTGTCCCATGCCTCTGCCTAGTAGAGCCCTGTTCTGCTCCACAGCTGCAGCAATGCAGCAGAAATTTGGCAGCATTTCACTGATAAAGGACATCCGCACAGCGATCTGCCTGCGTCCCTAAAGCTCCCAGACACCAAGGGAGAAAGGTGATACTGTTGCAACTGGACTTCCTACAGGTAGAGAAATATTTGCCTCTTTTTTGTTTGTTTTTTGGTTTTTTGTTTGGTTGGTTGGTTTTAAAGAGATGTAACTGAACAGAGATTTTCAGCTCTCTGTGACTAGCCCTTTCTCAGGTTTCAGCTGCAGACAGCTATTGATCATTACAGTTGTTGCTCTAAACCAACTGTTTTCCATGTCACAACCACAGTCAGTAAAATTTTGAGAGCCAAGTGGTACATTAGCTCACTGTGGACATTGTTTCAAGTTCTGCTTTTATTACAAGCAAGAAAAAAAATCCTGGCACATTCAGAATAATTTCTTTCAGTAGCCACAGAATTACCTCGCAAAGGTACAGAACTGGCAGGTTCTGACTTAACGGAGTTTGCAGGTCAGAACCAGACTGCAAAGCGACTTAGAAACCAACATACAGCACCAGAGGAACGCACACTGTGAGCTCTTTTCAGAAGATATTAAGTTTTAAAAATAAAATTAACAGTTAATCTAATAATCATTCAAGCATGGCCTGCTGAGTAGAAGTGCTGCAGGGCAACTTACTTTTGATCAAGCATTAAAATAATTACAAATAGGGATTGTATTTGCAACATGAGTTTTAATCTGTTCAGGGCACTGGAGTAAGTGGACCGCAATAGCCTTCGTTTTGCAAGCAATACCAAAAACTGATCCCAGGAAGGTTCAGAAAACTGATTTATGGTCATGGCAGACATCACTTCATATGAGGGCTTATTTTGGAAGATGAACAGAGCTACAGAGTGATCTGGGATCTGCACATATCTGCAAACCCCACGTAGACAGAATAGATCTCTGAACTTGCTACAGAACATAAGGTTGCTGCAACAGTGCCAGATTTCTGTGAAGCGTTAGCTCACAATCATGGTGAACATGAGAACTGAAAAGCCTCGTAAACTTTCAGAGCCATAAGAGGGAAAAAAATCACAGGGAAAAAAATATATACACTACAAGGTGGTGGTAGGCTCCTTGTACTAAGTAGCACAATGATCTAAGAACCAGGACATCCAAATTTTAATCTCTCCTCTATGGCGGAACAGGAATATTCAAGAACCAATTATTATTAAAAGCCCAAGAGTAGGGGTAAATGTCTAACACCTTCCATGCCCTGACGCTTTGCACACTTGAATGTACAGCTGGCCATATCCTTCCTTGCTGATCACAACAGCGAAGCAGAGACTATGGCAGTAAGTAAGAGGACTGGGATGAGAAGAGATGGAGACCTGGAGCCATCCCTTACCCCGAGGTACCGGCTGTCGTTGAAGAGCCGGGGCGGCAGGGGGTTCCCGCTTGCTGGCCGGCTGTCTTCAGGCACGTTCTCACGCATCCATTTCCGATTCTCCTCATTGGCGGCGATATCCTTTTCCTCAAATTCGATTTTGTTGGCTTCCAAGAAACCTAACACATCTTGTTGCTGCTTTTTAATCTGTCACAAAAGGGGGGGGGGAGAGAAAGCAAACAAAATCAGTCAATTTTTTCTGCGATGATTATGCAATTCCAGGGTTCAACGCAGAAACGGGGGTGCAAAACGGGTTGAAAATGGAAGCAGTAAGAAAATTCTTAGAATAAAAAAGTATCTTCTAAGGAGTCAGCTGAGACTTGACTTGGCTCCTATACTGTTGAACAGGCCACAGTCTAAAGACACTGTCCCTGTACACTTGCGCATGATGTGAACCTTAAAGGTCTCCAAGTGAAAGCAAAGGTGCAAGCCGTCCCCTTGCAGAGGCTGTGTTGTCCACCCCGACAATTAATTTGGGGGAATGTTGTTTTTTCGGGTGCAGTGAAGATGGCTGGAGGGACATCTGAGGTACAACTTGCTTCCTTCATGCCCCTGGAAACATAGGCTGAGCCCACCCTTCCCAGAGTCCAGGTTTTTGTCTTCCTCACATAGGCTATGTACCTCGCTGCAGGGACTTCCCGACAGAGATCTCATAAAGTCATCATTAACACTAAGATCCCCCCAAAATTTTGGCTCGTGGTTTTTTGGATTAAAAAACCTGCTCTGCTCTGCTTCAGGTTTCAGAGGTGGCAGGTATGGTCTCCGGATAGGTGTGACCCCGCATCCCCCCAATTCTTGCTTGTCTCAAGAAGTCTCAGGGGCTGACTGCACAGGCTGGATGAGATCCCACACCTGATGCATCCCCTCCTCTGAGTACTCACACAGCACCCACATGAAAAGCAGGAGCTGTGCGGCAAAGACTGTGCTGGTTTTTTTACAGGAAAGGTGGTTTTTATTACTGTCATATATGAATTATTGACTTCCTGATACAAAGATGTTCTGTTTATGCTCTGTTCGTCCTCTGCATGACTTTACCACCATAAAGGAAATTATAACCATGCGCATCCTGGCAAACAATAAAAAATGGGATTTTATGGGAAACTTGTTCTCTTCAAATTATTCCCTTCACTACAAAACCAGTCCAAGGACTGGCTTTAACCTAATTAGTTCAGTGCAACAAAAGCAGGGCTTCGTACAGATGTTGCACTGCTTCTAATTCAGGTCAGGCCCCGTTTCCCTGCGCAGCCTCTCCTCTCCATTTACGGCGAAGGGAAAACAGGCAGCTCCCGGCAGCAGCGCCGAGGGCAGGGCACAGCCAGCCGAGAGCCAAATATGGTGCCTGCGCCCCCGGCTCGCACAGCCCCGCACCCACGGGGCACAGAGCTGCACCGGGAGCCGGAGGGAGGCTGTGAGGTTTTAGCGCAGGAAAGTGCTGCCCTGGAAGGGTGCGGTTTGGGAGAGCAGAGCTCCTCCAAGGAGGAGACGGCCATGCCTTGGCAGTCTTTAAGCATCCATTGACTCGTTCTTTAGCAGCTCCTTTGCAGCCATCGCTGCTGGCTGCGCAAGAATCCATGATAGGGAACCAGTCCAGGTTAAACTAGATCTTGGGTGGGGTGGTTTGTTTTTAAAAATCCTGGATAGATCGATCTCCCTCTGTGTCTAGCTCAGCGTAGTGCGAAGGGACTGACCCTGCTCTCCAGAGCCAACATAATTCCTCCCTAACATGTTGGCAGAGGAGCCGCTGAACTCGATTAGCGAGTACCCTTGTACCCTTAAACAGAAGGATATTGCTGGGCATTACCTAATTTTCATCATGGCTAAAAATAAATAAAAATGGACAAGTTAATACCACCCCGAGGAAATAATTCATGTTACAGGCCGTATAGAAAAACATTTCTCCGCAGACTTGAATCTAGTGGCAAGACATTTCCTTGCTTGCCTTTAATAACAGGGGTCACAGCAGGAGGCAGCAGTCAGGGGAAGTTTTTCTCCATCATGTCATACAGCTCAGAGGAAAAAAAAAACCAAACAAAACACCAAAAAAACCCAACCCAAGCATTTCCTTCTTGAACTATTCTGTAGGACTAAAATAAGGGAAAGGTCTTTGTAATTGTAAACTCCACCACCAGTGGTCAGTATCTAAGGCAACATACTGACCTGGGAATAAAGGGAAAGTTTTTCTCCCCAAACTAGTTACATTTTAATTAACCATTTCCCACCAGTTGTAAATTACAGAGCCAGCCAGTCTTCGTCAGTCTCAGGTCCTCAACTTGTCCAAAATCTGCTGCTTAGTGAGAACACACTTTGAGATGTCCCAGAACTTTTAAGAAAACAAGACAATCAAATTTTTTCTCAATCTAATATTTTCCCATGTAAAACAAGAGCTCTAAGTTTGACAGTAATTAGCATTTTACTCTCCTGAGACCTCTGTTTTTACTATTAGATTGCCTCCTAGCCATCCACACATTCCTCACCACATCTCAGCTGGGTGTCGCAGTGCAACCCCTTCAGAGGTAGCCTCTGCGTGTCCCCTTTTTTCCTGCAGCACCCACTCCGATGGAGCCAGACTATCTTAGCCATTAAAATGTTTCTTCAACATGAAGAAAATGCCTCCAGATACCCTCTGTTTCCATTATTTCATATGATGAACTTAAATACAGTTTTCCTCTTGGACGTACATATGCAGAACACATTGCTGTACGCCAGATAGCCTGTTTTGCTCTATTTTCACTCATTCTCCCAGCTTTCTGCAGTAAGGAGAGTCTCTGGGTTGTTTTTTCAGCTACAGGTAGCACAGCTGGATCCCAAGTTCAGAACTGCAGCTCTGAAGGGTTATCGCAACAGATAACCCTCTCTGCTTGCTTATGAACAGCTAGCAAAGCTGGACATGTATTTCTCCTGGCAGAACAGGCAACCGTGCGGAAGCCAAGCATGGCATTTTGGTCTCCGTGCCACACACAGTCTGTCTGTGGTCAAAGGAGGTAATTCTCTAAGCAATTGCAAAGAAAAGCAAGGAACTGGTATTGATGCCTGAGTAACGTTAGTTTGAAACCCTAGTTTTCTGGCCAAAGGAAAAAAAACCAAAAACCTGAGTTGGAAGATTAAGAGGTGATGTCTTCCTCCCAGCTCCTCAGAGAAGTCTTCTGACCATGGTGACAAACATTTACACAAGAGCATTAAATGCTCCAGAGAAACATGGCACCAACCACTGGGCAGAAAAGACACCGAGCTGCCAGATCACATTATTTTATGGGATTTTATTTAGAAAACTTCAATTAATCTCAGGAACTGGAATACCACGGGGAGGGAAGTGCCTAAAATAGAGCAAGAGACGCCTGCTGCTTCTTCAGGGTGTTCTGTCTTACTCAAAAGGTCATGCGCTCTGCTCAGGACAAGAGACTGGAAGATGGTTCCTGCTGCCCATGTTTGGGAAGGAGCGAGGAGCCTTTCTTCAGGATGCGCCTGTCAACACCCAGCACTTGCTTCCCAAAAAAAACCTCTCCCAGTTGCCTAACCGGGCACGGACACCGGCCAGCGCCAGATACCACACCTCATCCTATGCAAACAACTGTCATGTCTAAAGCTATTTTGGCCTGTTAGCTGCAGCTAACCACAGTTTGCAAACACAAAAATCCTTGTTTATACTGAGTGCTCCTGACACATTTTGCAGGGCAGAGCACGCCAGCTGAGAGCTGGGAATGTGCATACAGTCAGTGCAGGAGCCGGGGAGCCGAGAGCAACGCTGCCGAGGCAGGGTCCTGAGGCCATGGGACCAGCACCGGAGAGGCAGAAGGACACGTGGATAGACAGAAAAGCAGAGAAATCATGGATAGGGATGAGTAGACAGCTGCAAGGAAGGAAAGAGGCTGCGGGTGGGAATGGATGGGAATGAGCAAAATGGATGGATGGATGGGAAGATCCCAAGGGGGGAGGTGGGATGGAGACAGAGGCATGGAAGGAGAAGGGGTGTGGAGCAGCAGAAGTCAGTACTGCCGAGAGGAAGGGCCACATCCTGCTGGAGCTCACCGCTGCCCTGCTCGAGGAAACAAGGATGCCCTGGTGCAAGGCAGCTTCGCCCACAGGTGGCTTTACCCCCACGCCACAGACACACACCCGCTTTCTCAGCCTGCACACGCTGACTCGTGCTTCTCGGGGCATTCTTGGGGGAAAACCAGATAAATTACTCAGGTGAGTGGAAATGTTATACTTTTTGCTGATGTTCCTAAGATAACATTGAAAGGAATCATTTAACCAAATTAATCTATTTTCACTTTGTTTTGGCTTTCAATGTCTGTTCTAGAGATAGAAATAGCATTATGGCAAGTTACCGGTGGTTGAGCAAAGTCTCACCACCAAGCTGTAATCTTCTGCGTGCAAAATCCACATGAGAAACATTAGAAGCTGACGATTCCAGCAGACTTTTTTTTTTTAAGGTATCCTTGTGTAGCAAGATTCTCCTCCTTTCCAGTTACAAGCCAATCATGAAACATTAAGCTTTTAACAGAGCATGTGCACAGAACAACATTACGAATATGAGTAGTTTAGCATTATGAACAGTATTGTCCCTCACTTAAATACACATCAGAAGTTAAATGTACTGTTCTGAGATCTAAGAGTGGATGATGTCAGTAACGCCAAGAGAAACCACATCAAAGCTGCCAACAGTAGAGACAGGTGACGCTTTCCAACAAATCGCATCAAAGATGGAGTTTTAATCCCAAAGTGGGCAGAAAAGTTTACAGAAAATACTGCAAAATTTTAGACTCAGTTTTTTTCTTCTTCTCCAAATCTTTACTCATTGGGGAAAAAAAAGAAAGGAAAAAAAAAAAGAACTGAACAAAAAGATAACAAACCAAAAGGAGGCAGGGGCGATGCTGCAGGACGTTGGCCCAGCAAGCAGGCAGCACTCCATCCCAGCTCTGGCCAGGACAGCCAGCCTCTCTTAGCACTACCCCGCTGTAAGGAAACAGTTCTTTTAAATACCACACTGAAATGAACTTCAAAGAAGTTTCTATCTTATTTCTTATCTTATACCCAGGCATACACAGACAAAAGAACAGTTTAGTTTGCACTGCTGGCCAAGAGGGGATTTGGGGTTCACGTCTTTTGTTATTTTTTCAGTTGATAAATAAATTCCTTGTTGGACAATAGATATGTTTTGGAAATCTATTTATGGACTGCTGGAACCCAAAGTAAGTTTACAGTTTGAGCGCTGCTGTTTTGATGACACAACAAACTTCCCGGTGCTGATAACGTGGCTGCCGCCCTG